ATATAACCTCTCTTCCTTAGAAATTTTCGGCCCACCAGCGGGCGAGCAGTAAAGTCGCTGAACACTGGTAGCTTGGCTTGAGGTTCAAATCCCGCGAACGGGCTGACTGCATGGGTGTTTTCGTGGTTTTCTCAAGTGTAACGTTTATACGAGCCAGTTTCCCTTAGAAAGTCCTCCATGAAGGCATCCCTCCCCTTAGGCAGATAGCCCTAGTGTGCTTTGCCGTAATCTTAATAAACCAAACCAAACCTTAGAAATTTTCAACTTTTATATTCTTAGAGACTATTTATGAAGCAATAATGCTGTGTCTGACTATTGTGAAGGTATTAGAGCTTTTGTAAACGTATATAATATTTGCTGTTATTTTTGTTTTCGTATGATTTAATTTTACAATAAAAATGGGCCCACCAGTGGCTAAGCGATAAAGTTGTTGAACACTGGTAATTGGATGCATGGTTTAATCCTGAGTAATAGGCATTTTCATGTTTTCCTCATGTGTAACATGTATCCGAGCCAATTTCTCTTAGAAATTCCTCCACAAAGGTATCTATCTTCTTAGGCAGATAAACCTCAAATGCTTTGCCATAATTAAGTAAATCAAACCAATCTGCAATAGAAATTTATTTTTAGTTAGCTCAGAAGGAAAATTTTGTTTCTCACTACCAGCTTTGCTGGTTAATAATGACATTTTGCTAATGTTACTTTGTGCAGATTTTATTGCCTGCTTTCAACTATTTTTACTTTTTTTGTTCCTAATATTCAAATTAGAACAAACTTCTCGAAGAAAATTTTTGAACCATAACTGAACCCTATCATCTTAATTTTTTTCACAAAATAGTTGCTATATAAATTTTAATAATATGATATTTAATTTTTTTATTGCAAACATCAGACACCTATGGTAGAAGATTATGTAAAGTTTCCAAATAAATAATATACGTAATGCCAGCAGAACAGTCATACTTCCAGTATAAAATCAATGATGTATCACTAATTGATAATTGCTGCCAAGGAAAGTTTTGTTAACATGAGGCTGGCTGATATTCACGGGCTTCCCAAATCTTATATATGTGAAAGTAGCTGGTGTTTATTTTTTGTGAGTGATGTCATGTTCATGCGACACTGATCGATATTTGTAGGATGAACAAAATCACATTAATAAGATGCTACTTCCCAAATCATCGTATTCATTTATCATCGTATAAATTTTGCAGTAAATCGTATTTTACTGCAAAATCTTTTAAACTTTTTTTTCCTTTTAATAAATGCCTTATTTATCATTTTGCAATAAAATAGTAATCAGTCACCTAGGCTAACCATTTAATGTAACTGTGTTCGCCAAAATATAATTGGTTATTCTAATTCAATTTTTTAAAGTAATTATCTTTATTTGGTAAAAATATATTTACGGGTGCCCCTTGGCGATAATTATAGGTGCACGGACACCGAATTTGTGCAATTCTTTGACTTGTTATTTTGACTTTGTGTATCGGCAAGTTTTGTTGCAAAAATCGCCACTATACAATCCAAAATAACAAAAAGAATCGCACAAACTTGGTATCCATGTACCTATTTTCACTTAAAAAACATCAGAGAATTGCACAAACTATGCATTGTGCACTCTCTTGACTTTGACCATGTATACATTGATCTGTATTCACTTAAAAAGTCAAAGGAGCAGCCAACAAGAAATGCATAATCTCAATAAACTACATTTTAAATCAAACAATGAAATAACATAAAAAAGGAAATTCATCATAGGAAAATACACAAAAGAAATATCCACTTATTTACTAATTTCTGCGTCGTCAGTCAAACAAAATTCCTTAACAGCATCCAAAAATTTCCTAAAATTATCTGAACTAGAATCTGTATACTGGCGTCGTCATATAAATTCACAACAATAAGAGTAAAAATATCCTCCATAGTGCTGGTATCCTTCGTTCGACCATATGCATTTCCTTTCTACAAACGGGACGCTTATAATGTCTACTAAGTAACCTTCATTTACATACCAGTCAATTAATATTTTTCCCCCTTTCATTCCAAATCGTACAGAAACTTCAAATTAATCTTGCCACATTCAGCCATTTTACCATGTAAACAACAAAATAATAATGTACTTTTTATCTAAAATCCAACACACCATCAAGCCTTTTTAAATCTTTTCCTATCATTCAAATTCATCGCAATCACACAACCAATTATATCATAATAGGGTTTGCATGGCATTCAACTACTCGGGTTACCATAAATGATACAAAACGTGGTGGTAATAAATGAAACAGCAACTTAGCGATAATGCAAGGGGTGTGGGGGGAAAGACATTTTTTAATCCCGATTGGGTAAATTCTAATATCAATCTTCAGTGGAGAAAACAACTCGATAGTAATGCTTTGGGGGATTAAGTCATATGTAATTCGTAAATGTGTTTTCAAGTGGTACCATAATTAATTAACCTTTTGGCACAGCCTACATGCATTACGGAAATAGACTGGAATTTTCTTAAAACACACCTGGAAGGGTCAGCGAATTTCATTCTCCTGTGAATGGCATTTTCAGGAAATAATTAAAATCCTGAATGATATAGCTGTGCATTTGCTTAATTCTGTTATCACTTTCTGCTGTGTTTTGTAATAGTATATGTATGAAGAGGTATTTGTAAAAGTTTTAAAAATGTAATGACTGAGATATACGAGGGCCATCCAGAAAGTAGATTACGTTTTGGAATAAAAAAATAAGCAAAGTATAGGAAACAAATTTTATTATATACAGATGAAAGCCACACTCAAATACTACTTTTCTACATAGTCACCATACAAATTAAGGCATTTATCGTAGCGATGTACGAGCTTGGAAATTCCTTCGTCGAAAAATTCGGCCGCCTGCGCCTTCAACCACTTCGTTACCTCTTCTTGCAGCTGTGCGTCGTCATCAAAACGCTGCATAGCCAGCCACTTCTTCATTGCTGGGAATAGGTGGAAGTCGCTCGGTGCCAGGTCGGGACTGTACGGCGGATGAGGAAACAACTCCCACTTAAAAGATTCAAGAACTTTACGAGTGACATTTGCCGTGTGGGGCCGGGCATTGTCGTGAATCAACAAGATCTTAGAGCTCAACATTCCTCTGCGCTTATTTTGAATTGCTCTTCTGAGTTTTTGGAGAGTTTGGCAATACCTTTGAGAGTTTATTGTAGTGCCTCTTTCCAGGAAGTCCACCAAAATTACACCTTTTCTGTCCCAAAAAACAGTCGCCATCATCTTCTTCCTTGCCGACATTGTTTGCATGCATTTCTTGGGTTTTTGGGGAGAACTTGTGTGCCCCCACTGCATTGATTGCAATTTCATTTCACAGTTCACATGTTTCACCCATGTTTCGTCACCAGTAACGATGCGATCGAGTAAAGAGTCACCATCCTTATGGTAAGCGTCCAAAAAGTTCAACGCTGCAGCCATTCGCTGATTTTTGTGGTCCTCTGTCAAGATTTTTGGAATCCATCTTGCACAAAACTTGTGGTAACCAAGCTTTTCGCTGATGATTTCGTGCAACAAACTTCGCGAAATTTGTGGAAAACTCAAAGAAAGTTCCGTTATTGTGAAATTTCGATTTTCACGGACTTTAGCATCGACTTTTTCGAGAAGTTCGGCGGTCACTATGCTGGTGGGTCTCCCACTTCGATCTTCGTCGTGAACATTGGTTCGGCCATTTTGAAATCTTATGACCCACTGACGCACTCCACCTTCAGTGATAATGTTGTCCCCATACACTTCACGAAGCTGCCGATAGATTTCTATCGGTTTACAGTTTTTTGCAGTCAGAAACCTTATTACTGAGCGCACCTCGCAGCTTGCGGGATTTTCAATTAACGCAGACATTTCAAACTGTCACAGTATCTGAACGGAGCACAGCACGAACCTCTCACTAGCACGGCTAGATGCAGACTGAGCTGCGCAACGCTCTGACCCCAACATGGCCGCGCTAGCCCCGCCCCTAGCGGACACAGACGGAAACGTAATCTACTTCCTGGATGGCCCTCGTATTACAAACTCTAAATTTAGCAGTATTTTTAACTAGTTCAGCCTCTGTTTTTGCATAAAGTATATCTTCCTTGTATTTTTTTGTTTTTGTTTGTTTGTTTAAAATTATTTGTGTATTTTCATAATAGATATTCATAATAACCATGTAATCATTTTAAATGCTTAAAATTTACAAAACTATAAAGAAACCCATGAACTTGACAAGAATTTGTGGTCTTAAGTATAGCTTCAGTTAGCAATAAATTAATTTTCTGATGCTCTTTTTTGATAACAAAATTCTGTTTCGTAACATTTTGTTATAAATGAGCTTTTAAATCTATGTTTATCTGATATGAAAAAGTATGTCATTCTTTAATTTATTTCATATATTATATAGTACTGCTGTTGCACATATTTACAACAGAAACTAAAAGGTAAATTCCCTATCCATCAGGCTTCAGATCAAAAGTTTAAATAACTAGTGATGTAACAGCAGTAGCTTTTTGGGAAAATTGTCAGTTTTTCTAGCTCTTGAAGTTAGTTCCTTTTTGTTCTGCATTCTAATCTCTAGTTTTCAGTGCACAATTTTGTTTTCTTAAAATTAAAGTGTCATGCAGTGCTAGTTCTGGTTATATTTGTTAGCTTTTCATTCATTTAATTATGTTATGCTTGAAAAAATAATAATTAGTTGAAATATCCATCACTGCCTCTTCATTGATATATTTTCCAGTTTCAATTCTACTGTGTAATTGACTGGATATTGTATTTTAATTAGATACAATGAACTTATAAAGAATACAAAAATGCTTGTATGTTTGCAATTTCACAAATGAGAATGCCATTAAATAAATCGTAAACTCGTCATGATACCATAGTTAATAAATTGAAGGTTCATAAAAACATCAGTTCTTTGTATATGTGGTGCGTATATTTATGTAATATTTATGTATTCTAAGTATTAATAAGTTTTTTTTGTTATTTTAGGAAATAATTCCTGGTTTATTTCTTGGTCCTTGTACTGCTGCAAGTAAAGCAAAAGTAAATATATGTATTATGCAAATAACTGTTAAATGTGTTAACAGTATCATTTTTTAAAATTTTAATTCCACTTATATTAAAGTTGCAGGAACTGCAAGAAATTGGTATCACTCATATAGTATGTGTGCGGCATCATTTAGAAGCTAATTTTATAGAGCCACAGTTTCCAGACAAGTTTGTGTAAGTATTTTAACTTTTAGACTGTGTGCATTTTCTGTTGATCCAAATATTTCAGTCAAATGAAAAGGGTCTCACCAGTAATTGGGTAATTAAATCTTCTGAAAAAGGTAATTCATTCTGGATTTGAACCTAAGCAAACAAGTGGCTACATGGTTGGTTTTCGGAGCTTTCTCTATATTTAATATAAATGTGAGCTATTTTCCTTTGAAAATCCTCTATGAAGGTATCCTTTCCTTTAGGCAAATAACCCTCAAGTGCTTTTTCGTATTCAGATAACCTGAGCAAATAAATAAATAGTGATTTATATGTAATTAATTATCAAAATTTTTTCCCGATGAAGTAATCCTAAATTTTTAAATAAATGAAAGAATAATGATTTATCTGGAATTAGATATTAACTGATCGTTTTTCTGATATTAAACTTTTGTAAGCTTAAATTGTAAATTAATGTAATGTGATAATTTATGAAGACGACTTTTTTATTGCATTTAATTCTTTTTGCATAATTTATTTTATATTTTCCGTTAGCTATCAGTTAATGCAGGCCTTGACAACCTTTGCAACCACAACTTTTGTGGTTTTGCAGCTGAGGATGGTGATTCGGTAAAACCATCAAAACTAGTCCTGTGAAAATTTTGAAAATATAACTCGGATTTTTGTTGTTTGACTTCTGAATTAGTATTTATTCGGCGTGTTATTTTGTCTTAAGTAATAATATGTTTACTTTGCAAAACGGCGGCATGAATCCCATTCCTCGTCTGCTTTTTATTTGTAATCTATTTGACATTTAACCCGTAACAGGGGAGGTGAAAAAGTTGAACATAATAGGGAAGGTGCGGTCTCAGAGACCGCGCATTATAATAAATTTTTAAAAATCGTCTAATTAAAATATCATCATGATATTTCACTTAGATGTTCTTTGAACATTTTACTCTGAAAAGAAAATATGTTTTTACACTTTAAAGTGAAATTAAAGTTTTCCCAGAAAATTTCCCCATAGCCTCAAATTTTTCGATGAAAATCAGATGCTGCACTAAATTCTATAAAACTAAAAATAAGAATACATCTATTTTGAATTAACTATTTTATCTATATTAGTTAATATTCAAAGCAAATTTTAACCGCAGAAAATTGTATGTAGCACAATACAGAAAAATTTTGACAGTACCTAAAATATCAGTATCTCACTGATTTTCTGATAGTAAACAATTTAGTTTTCGTCTTCTTTAGCATATTCATTGCATAACTTTTACGTGCATTCCAAACAAACATGTTCTTGGCAAGATAAACATAAATATACTGTCTTTCTTTTCTTGCTTGGGGGGCACAGACGACATGTTTTCCTTGATTTTAATTTTGCTTCTTTTGTGCACTGCTTCACATCCTTAGACTCAGCTTCTTTTGTGCACTGCTTCACATCCTTAGACTCAGCTTCTTTTCCTAAAATCCGCTTTATCGTCAGGCGCAATTCTCGATTTATTCTTGGATTTTTCCCTCTCGTGTGTAGTAGTGGCTGGACTAATTCTCTCGCTAATTCTTTCAAAAACACCATTCTGGTCCTAACAGGGTTTTGGTTATAACTTTGGTGCAAAATGTATGCATTTACTGTACTCATATCTACTAACCGGTAGAAAAGAGCCATAGGCCAACGCGTTGTTCTCCTACTACAGGAATGGACGGAACATTTTTCATCTAAAGCATCAACACCACCTTTGGTTCTGTTATAAAAACCAATTATTTCAGGTTTCTGTGTTTCCGAGTCTGTTTCTATCAAATGATGGAACGATGACATCAAAACCACTGCTCGCTTTTTTTCGCAGAAATTTTCTTCACAGTCATCTTCTTCATTAAAATCACTTCCAACTTCGTCTAGAATTTTTTTCAGTTCTTCTGCATAACGTGGGTCAGAAGGATAAATGAATCTCCGCGGACCTAACTTCAGAGCCATCTGTTCACTACTGCCGAAAATTGTAACACTGAGAGGGAGGTGAGGTCTCACAGACCGCTCTAGAAGAATTTCAACAGATACACTTGCCAAAGCATTCCGATAAGAAGGGGTCAGAAAGAAGGTCAAGAAACATGAAGCTAGGGGAAGAATCCATTCACTTGGACAAAGCATGCAATAGGGATGATGGGAGGAACATGTGGCGCGGTCCGTCAGACCGCACGTCCCCTGTTACGAGTTAATAATTATATTCACCCCATCCTAGTAAAAATTTTTTTAATATAATTCTTGAAGAGATTTCATAAAAAAATAACTATTAAAAATGTAGTAAGACATGTGGAGAGTATGCTTCAATAAGTTCCAACTCTAAACAAAACAGCATTAAATAAAGTCATCTTAACCCATTAACGGTTTGGCCCGGATTTTCTCGTTCTTTTATGCAGGTCTCTTAACGGTTCGTTACGGATTATTGTTAGTTTAAATGTACCCTCGAAAACGGACAGTCCCGTGTTTTTGTATTATCGAAAAAACACGCTAAAAAGGACTAGCCCGTATTTTTGTATGTCTTCCAACCCCCAATGCCTAAGGGGACAAGGGTCCATGCAATTCTGACGAGAATGGGTAATGTCTGTCATTAGCGTGGGGAGAAATCTTCTTGATGTTTTGGGATAAAGGCCTTACACTGACTCTAAAGAAACAAATTTATTACCAGTTACAAAGTCGATGCATATATAAAGGGATTTAAGAATTTGCGTTTTAGAGCAGTTATTGAATAAAAAATAGAATTTTTTACAAAATGAACGTTTACCTATAAGAGCATTAATGAATTAAAACGAGAAAAATAAAAGTAATAAATGCAAACATAAAAATCTGAAAATGCAAATCTTTCAGATTTTACATTAGGCCCAAAGGGCGTTTTTTTAATGGTTTGTGGGTTACCTTTATTTTTAAATATCATGTTCTTCGCATTTAAACCATAAAACTTCAGTTAAACAGCAATACCGCAAAATAAATTTTAAATGAGCATATCTTTAGAATTTCCGATACACGGTCTTGCCCGTTGAAGATAATTTTTTATATTATTATTTTCATACAGTGTTGCCTTTGCTCGTTTTAAAATCGTTAAGTTTCTTAACTAAAAATTCATTGAAGTTTTACGAAATATGAAACATATAATAAAACAAATTCCAAATCTCGGCTTCGAGATGCCCATATTCGGGTGGAAATGTACGTTATTCAAAATTGGATGGGTCTAGGTACCGTTGTTTTATCACAATGCGAGAAACATACATATATTTATGCAGATTATTCATTATTTAATTTCAAGGCAGATAGCCTCGAGTGCTTTGCCGTAATCTAATAAACCAAAACCATTATTTAATTTCTTTAAATATAATACAGGGCTGTAATATGTGGTAGCAACAGTTTGAAAAGTGAACTGACATAGTTTTCAACGGAAAATGAAAAAATGAAGTTAATAGACCTTCTCAGCTAACGCCCTTTGTTTTAAAAATAATGTATCGTGTAATTTAATGGGAATACGAGATTAAATAATTCTCTTTAAGAAATTTATCTACAAATTTATATCATGAATAACAAAAACGTGAGGCTGTCTTGATAAATTTATAAATATTATGCATCTGACAATGCGATTCAATTATTTGATTTCGTAATTTAAGAACCTATGATTCTTCTTATAAACCTGTACAGGAATTTAGCAAAGAAGCTATTAAGTAATCTCTTATTACCATTAATCTATGCGATAAATTATTATTTATTATTACTATTGGTTCAGTCTTTTTACTTCCAAGTATCCTTTTACCTCAAATAATCGAAAAGATATATAAATTTAAAACAAATTCGCCCCAAAATCAGAAATTAGGTTACGAATTTCATGCAAATTTTATTTCAAAAGCTATTTTATGCTCTGTAAAATGATGCAAACTTAAAAATTTTGAGATTTTTAGTTTATTCTTAAATGGAAATATGCGCAAAAAATTTCTTCGACATTAAATTTTAAAAACTCTAAATCGAATTATTATCATTCGTAAACGGTGTGTGTGTACAAAATTTGAATTCAATAGCTTATCGATAAGTAGTTCAAAAATCGACGACGAGCTTTTGATTAAACACCGTGAATGAACTGAATACAATTTTTGGAACAGCTCTTTTTTTAAGCACTTTGGAAAGATCGGTAAGTTGTTGATATAGCATAACCGTTATTCTTATAACATTCTTGGCATTATGAAACGTGTAAGTGACATTCATAAGCGATTCCCGACAGTTCTGTTCATTTGTCAAAGTGGCTGCTTTCGAAAATATTGTGAAGCTCACTCGACGTGCTCCACTATCTATGATACTCATTAATGATATTTAATTATGTTTTATTTCTATAAAGAAATACTGGTAAAATTAAGAGTTTAAATATTTAATTACTAGTATTTGAGTTATATAACTACTTATACTGTCTCAAGAAATTTTGAGTCATTTTGTAAAAATAATCTTTTCATTAAAATTCCCTTTCCCCCCTGCCCCCTATGCTTCATGACTTTATTACTATTCAGATGAATGGAAGGTTTGTAGAGACATTACATTTTTTTTTTAACAGCAAGACACAGGAAAAATGAGCAATGCCTTACACGGGACACGAACCACGGACTTCTCAAATGCGCGCGGAGCGTACTGAGACCACGAAGGCATGCTAAAAGGGCGGGAGAAAGTACCGTATATACTTCCCCTTTTAAAGGGCGACTGGGGATTAGGGGACCGAATCGCCAAATCCTTGCGGCGGAGAATCATCATCCATCACCTTTTTTGTTTTGTGTGCCACTATAGAAACATTAGGTTATTTCGAAGCAGGGCATGTGAAATAGGAGCAATGCCTTCGCCGGGACTCGAACCAGCTACACTCGAACCTTTCGAATACATGCCGTGCGTGCTGACCATTACACCACGAAGGTATGCTAAGAAGGCGGGAGAAAATACCTTATAGGTTATGAAAACCAAAAGTTGAGTAGGTAGTCACAAATCTAACTAATAAATGCTCTACAAATAC